ATAATTGGAGAACTTGATTGATGACTCTTGGCTATGAACATAATTGGGGAACTTGATTGATGACTCTTGGCTATGAAGGTGTTTCAGTTGGACAATATGAATTATGATACACCCAGAAGGGTGTTGGGAAAACCAGGGTCAAGGGTGACAATGAATTACGTTTTTTCAGAATCGGCTTCATTACCGACATGTTCGCTCCTAATAAATCCTTTGAAGTTCTTGAGCTCAAGGCTCATGATTTAATTAGGGCAACTGCCGGAATCCTGACACAGGAATTTGGTTGTCCGAATTCAAAAGATTTCTCTCTCCCCTTGGGGATTCCTGACCTCGGGTCTCCGACCTTTGTGGTACCTTTTGTCTTTCTTTTTGCCTTTCCAGAACTTGTCCCGGGAACAGGCGGACTACTGCATCTCGCACATGAAGCCCTACATGGACAGCAAAGGCCGGGAACTTCCCTCCGCCTACGACTACGTCGAATTCACACGCTCCCTCTTTGTGAATTGATCGCCAGCGCTCACCCCGCCCTGAACCCTCACACCCCCCCCACACACACACCCAGCGATCCCAAGAATGCACTCTGTGTGTTTAGCTTCTTCGCTCTCTGCATGTCTCCCCCTCTCGTGCTCGAAAAAAACCAATCCCTGTGTAACCTTAAAAATGCTTCGCTTAAACGCCTCCATCCTTAGGTCGAAGGAAGCAAATCAACAACAATAAAAAAAAATGTCAGTGTGTGTTTGTGCTTCAATAAAAGTTGCTAGTCCAAATTGAGGGTTTCTTTCACGCCTCCGGAGCATAGAAATTCCCATCGACAAAACGTGGAGCTCCCTCCGCTAAGGCTTTAAGAGAATGCCACTCAGAATAGTGCTTTTTACTTAATGTTTATTTACAACCTTCTCCATCTCACACACACACACACACATGCTCCCTTTGTGGGAGGATTGGCAATAGTTGCATGAACAAAAGACTTTCTTCTCCCTGCCCGAAATAATCTCTGACACCCAGCAAGGATCGGCCGTGTTAGTCGGTGACCTCGTTTGCGAGCTGATCGAGGTGGCTCATCTCTCGCGGTCCCTCTTCGGTGAAATCCGAACTCAGCTGCCAGATCTTCACCGTCCCGCCGGCGTCTCCGGCGGCAAGGAGCTGAGTCTGCCGAGGGTTGAACTCCAAGCAGTAGACGGGAGCCTGGTTGGGCGTCTGCCTGATGGAAACCGAGGGCTTTTGCGAGCTCTTCGCGAAATCAAACAGCTGCACTTCCCCTGGAAAACAAGCCGAAAGATTAAATAACAGCGCAATCCTTAAGAGCCACACACACACACCCCGGAATCCTGCTTTTTCCTCCTCCAATGATTCAGGGCTTGGCACCAACGTTTAAAATCATTGCAGGAAATTAAATAGATTCACTGAAAAGCAAGAATGATCCCAGCCTGTCGGGATCCTCTGCGAGGAAGAAAAATTGCGGGTTTGAGTACCAAACTCGCTAACCCACCTGGATGAGGCGAGCCAACTGGCAGGCTCAAATAAAACTACGTCCACACACACCTAGACACACAAACACATCCTGTATAGCAATAGCACTTAGACTTGTATACTGCTTCAGAGGCCTCTCTAAGCGGTTTACAGAGCCAGCCTCTTGCCCCCAACAATCGGGGTCCTCATTTTACCCACCTCGGAAGGACGGGAGGCTGAGTCAACCTTGACCTGGTCAGGATCGAACTGCTAGCAGTGGGCAGAGTTAGCCTGCAATATTACATTCTAACCACTGCACCACCCAGGCTCCTAATGCAACATCCAATCGGCTACAATAATAGCCATAGCACTTAAGACTTATATACTGCTTCACAATGCTTTTACAGCCTTCTCTAAGTGGTTTACAGGGTCTTGACTGTTGCCTTCAACAATCCGAGTCCTCACTTTACCCACCTTGGAAGGACGGAAGGCTGAGTCAACCTGGAGCCTGGCGAGAATTGAACTGCCAAATTGCAGGCAGCTCTAACCACTGCACTACCGCGGCCGTGACAAACCCCCCTCGCCACAGCTACCCAAACCAAACGTACCTTCGCCAGAAGCAGCTGCAAAAACCAGGGGCCGGACTGGCGACCACCTGACGCTGAAAATATATTTCTTGGACAACTGAAGGGACAGCAGCGGGCGAGCCTGCAGCATTGAGTGTAAATGGACGTGTCCATCTGTCCCGCCGCTCAGGAACAAATTCCTTGGGGACGGGAAAGGAAGAAGAAAAGAAAAAGCAGGTTTTGCGTAAGCCAATCCCAAATCCAAGGAGTAGCGCCTAGAGCCAAACAACTTAGCGCACAACTGGAATTCCAGCTATGCTGCAAGTGCCCATAATTCATCAGGCGTCTCTCTAGTCGTTAGCTGCACGTTAAAAGAACTAAAATGAAACTGGCGGATTTATAGCCCAGAATCACAGGTTTAAAAGATCTTGAATCAAGAGAAGTCTTTGTACCGTGGCTAGGTTTGAGCCAGAAGTTCAAATCCAGGTTTGTTGTTACTCTTAAAATGGATGCGTCCTTCCCTTTCACTCAAAAAGAGACCTGAATAGGCAGGTTTAATTTGGCCCCTTCCACTGGAAAGGGAGAATGGGAACCCTAGGCCAGGGCTACCTACTGCCTTAAGCCACATTGGCCTGGATTACTTACCACAGGGCAAATTATAACCCCCGCACCTTTACAAACCACGTTTGAGATGGCAGGTGCAGAAACGCACCCAAACAAAACGCATTTGGTTGCATTGGTTCCTGAAAAAAACCTATCCGTGCTCTAGATGTTGCAGCAGCCGCCGCCGCCAGGCCTTACCTATGGAAAGGTGAGCAGCTGACACTGTAGATGGGGCCTCCGTGGGAGGAGAAGCTGAACTGGGCCGGGGCCCTGAGGGGAACGGAGCTGCTCTTCTGCAGGAGGGCAGCCGTGTCCACCGCCGTTGAGCACTTCATCAAGTAGCCGCCCTCCGTGCCGCTGACGAAGACGCTGGGCTCGAAGTGGGAGAAGGAGAGGGACGTCACGCCCACCACCATGTCTCCCCGAGGATGCTGGGGAGGGAAGGAGACAAAGAAAAAAGTCTTATGTGCCATTGCATCCAAAACAACGCTGAAAAAAAAGACACACCAGGAAAATCAAGTGGGAATTGGGGGCCCTGCCTGCCCCTCCCAGCCTCTCTGCTGCAATAGGAAGTTGGCCGTTGTGAGTCTTTGCAAAGATGAACAAAGGCCCTTAAAAAACAATAAAAGAGAATGATTTATCTTATGGTTCAGCTTAACATACAAGACTCCATTCTGCATAAGATAGCAATAGCATGTAGACCGCTTTACAGTGCTTTTACCACCCTCTCTAAGCGGTTTAGAGTCAGTCTTTGACCCCCAACAACCTGGGTCCTCACTTGACCCACCTCGGAAGGACAGAAGGCTGAGTCAACCGGGAGCCAGTCATGATCAAACTGCTGGAAGTGGGCAGAGTTAGCCTGCATTCTAACCACTGTGCCACCATAGCAGATGATATAGACAGACAGACAGACTGACATGGAGCTAGATCAACAGCAATAGCACTTAGACTTACACACTGCTTCCCAGTGCTTCCCAGCCCTAAGTGGTTTACAGCCCCCAACCATCTGGGCTCTCGTTTTACCCACCTAGGAAGGACGGAAGGCTGAGTCAACCTCTAACCTAGTGAGATTCGAACTGCCAAATGGCAGGCAGCCGGCAGTCGGCAGAAGGAGCCTGCAGTACCGCATTTTCACCCCTGCGCCACCGTGACCTCAGGTGCAAACCCACCACATTCATGTGACTTAGCAGGCCACGCCGAAGGCTGTAACGCGTCTCCAACTCTACGAAGTCCCCTTTTTGCCCGACGGGCACAGATCCTTCTCGGAGGTCAGCGTAAGACTGGCCAGGGCTGTGGAGGGCCCTCCCCCGTCAGGATCCTCCCCCCACCTTGCCTTCTTGAGCTTTGTGCTCCGGGGAATCTGCTGCTGGACGAAAGAGAAACCGCTGGCGGGGCGGAGGAGGCCGTCCTTTTCTTCCTGCCACACCAGGATCTTCCCGTCGGTGGAGACGCTCAAGACGCGGAAGGCCCGCGGCTGCTGGGGGTCTCGGTGCCAGCTGACCTGGGGTCCAAAAGGAGGGATCAGAGAGCTCAGGAAGCCGTGAGGAGGGAGGCGGGCTCCGTCCCTTTCCTGCCCCTACCTGATACACGGGGTCGGTGTGAGTGTCGTCGGTCATGCCCGTCCTCCAGGTCAAGGGATCCTCCTGCCTGCTGGTGTCCCAGATCAGGACTTCTCCACTGAACAGGCCCCCTGAGGAGAGACAGTCGAGAAGCTGGCCGGGAGTTTTGGGCATCGAGGACGGAGGTTCGACCCCGGCCCGCTTCCTGTCCTGGCCCCCCCCCCCCCCCCCGTCAAGAAGCACTTGCCGGCGATGAGCGAAGGCTGCTGGGGGTGGAAAGCCACACACAGGACGGCGCTGGGGATTTCCACCACCAGATCCGGCCGGTGGGGATTCAGCGCTCGACGGTTGAGGTTCCAGGTGCAGAGGAAGGATTTTTCAGAGTTCCAGTCTCCATCATCCAGTCTGAAAGAAAGAAGAAGAAAGAAAGAAAGAAAGAAAGAAAGAAAGAAAGAAAGAAAGAAAG